CGCCATGTCTCGATATGTCTTGCCTTGTCGTTTCTTGAGCGTCTGTTGCCAGCTCCCAGGCTGTACATACCTGCATTGCGTTCGGACGGCGAAACCGCTGTCTACGCAACATAGTCCTGGGAGCCCGGTTGGTTCTCGTTTGCCTCAGTGCTGATGTTTGGAAGGCCGTGTTTCCTCTTTTTCTTTGGGAAGGGCGGGGGGGTTGAGCTCAGGCTGAGCAGCCACCTGAGCTGCCTTCCTGTCGCCTTCTTCGTCCTCTTCTTGTGCCGGTAAGGCCATGCACCGTGTGAGACCGCAAAACTCTGCGGAGCTCATAGGTTGCCCCGACACCCGAGAAGAATCGGAACAAAAAAGCAGCCGAAGAACAGCGGCTCAGCCTGAATGGCCCATCGAGCGCAAGAGGATGGCATGCTTGCCTGGATTCTTTTCTTTGGCCTCAGCTGCTTTCGGTTCGCCCTTCGCAAGCCAAGCATGGAGCGGGGTAATTCGCATTCCTTGGCCCACGAAGTGCAATATCGTTTGGAGGAGGGCTTCATCAGCGCCTGTGGTTTGGAGGACTTAGGACTTAGCGTTAAGGCCGCAGAACAACAGAAGCATCCAAGCTCCTGCCAATTTGCGATGTGGCGCTGGCTTCTGGTGTGCTTGATCACCCAGGCCTCGCCCAGGGGGCCTCACAAAAGCCCAGACTCATTGTTTTGGCATTCTCTCTAATGTTGAAGGCTTGGCCAGCCAGCGGCGATGAAGGCGCAGAACCCCCCCCCCCCCCGGCTGTGCTCGTGCTCGCTGGCAGATTTGTTTCGTTTAACATGATGGTGACCTGGGCGGGGGGACTTCACGCTTCTTCACGCTGCATTGTGCTCATGTTGACTTCTTATGCAAAAGTGGCAACGTTATGCACCTCACAAAGAAGTTTCCTCGAGAATTATCGCAAAATCCCAGCTTTTGCTGCTGGAAGGTGAGACTTGCGCCGCAGGCGGCTGTCAGCCGGAGGCTGCGGCCACGGCCAGCGCGGTTCCGGGGCGCCGGCAGCACCACTGGCCCTTCCAGCCTCGCGGCCCAGAAATGAAAAGTAGTTTTTCTGTTGCCCAAGGCTTGCAACATTCAGAAACCCGAAGATGAAGCAAATTTCGTTGACAAAATGGGTGCGCGCAGAGGCACAGGGGGAAGGAGGGAGAAATCAAGGACAGAGAAAAGAGAGACTTTGACGACGCCTGCGCTTGTTGTCAGCATATCTTGGGTCCGAGGAAAGGTGGGCCGACCCGAACCGGCTACTCGCCGCACGCTGCTTGCCAAAATGTCCCATGATTTTCATCGTGGTTCTTTTGCGTTCTCCGAATCCGTCCGGCAGCTGCAGCATTGTAACTGACGGGCGCAGTAGCTTCGCCCAGTTTGTTTCGTTTCGATATCTTGTAAGCTTTGCAGGCTTGGTTCCAGTCTGAATCGGCTCAATGCATCATGCGTCCCAAGTGTGTTAACAGCAAGTTTCAGCCCTTTGTTGCGGACTTCGGGGCCTAAAGTCTCCCCATAAAGCGCTGAGCCAAAGTGTGGGGACCTTCAGGAGCCCAAACAGCACAAATTAACATGAATGATGTATAACACGGTTCTTGAGCTTTCGGAGGTCATGCCCGACATCAGCAAGGGCCCCGCCTGGATCCATGAGGAGAGCCGCAGCACAAAACCCCGCAAGATCTGGCATTTTTTTATTTTTTCGCACTGGTCCCATAACAGCGACAAAGCTCACTGGCATGTTACATTTGATGGTGGCTTTCCTCTAAACTGCCGCATCTCATGCAGCGTAGTTTGCAGGTACCTTATGCCGATGTGGTTCGAAGCACACCTCTGATCGACGATCAGAAGAACATCTACGCGACCGGCTGCACTTCAATGTGCTGTCACAACTGCTCATTAGCCGTAGCTGCGAGTTGTTGCTCTTCACTGCAGATGTGCCAACGCAGTGCAAACCATTCCGACCTTTCAAGATCTGAGCCTTAGAGATTCTAAGTTTGGTTCCTATCTTGGGTTTGTAGGAAAGCTGTTTGTGGGATGTGCCTGGCAGCCTAGTCTACATGAGTGCGTTGTTCGCACACTGTTCACACACTAAGGCAACAACGGTCGCTGGCAGATCTTACAAGTTCAGCTCAGATCCTCAGCACGAAGTTGGCCCAGGGGCAGCGCACGGATAACGGAAGATGCGCCCTCTCAATCAAATTAACCGGGTGTTCGGTGTGTAAATGCCCCGGTCACCAAGTTCGTAGTACTTTCGTGTGAGATTGTCCACTGCCTCAAGGCTCAGACAAGTTGAGAGCAGCAAGTACCTTAAATGCGGTGCCAGTGCTAACCTCAAACGTGTTGCATCCTCGGGAGTTGTCCTCGAACATGTCCACGATGCGACGAGACGACTCGGCCTTGTCGCAGATGCTCCAACATATCCCAACATATCCCAACATATCCATGGCCTGAGGCCTTACACCGCACAATCGAGTAATTATGTGAAGTAGGGTTTATATTTCTGTTTTTGGTGAGTGTATATAAGGTTCATTTTTAATCTTGGTGAGTGTATACCGGGTGTCCTTTTGGGGGTACAAGGAATACAAACCCTACTTCATATGATAGCATATGAGTGGTGGCCCGATGACGGAAATCACCCAGGCTTGGCCACGACCCCCTTCCCCCCCCCCCCCTTTGATGTTTCCCGGAGCCTAAAACGAATGGATGCCAAGGATTTGCGACACAAATTCGAGAGGCTAAAAATAAGCGCACCCCATGCTTCCGCATTTTAGTCTCTCTGACATTCTCAAAGCAGGCGGGCGTATATGATCTTGCCCTTGTAGGTGGGTGCCCCTTTGATTTGTCAGCCAAATGCCTACTCACGCCATGTCACATACGTCATTTCACGACGCAACTTGGCTCCGGAAGTGTCAAACCTATGTTCCCGCCCCTCCCCCCCTGATTAGTGCCACAGAAGCGCGAGCAGAGCGAATGCCAACCATTTAAGCGTGCCCTTTTGGTTCACAACTCTCGGGGTTGGCTCGGTTTTGGGAGTGCGGTGGGGAGGGCCAAGGATGGCAAGCTGATCTGGAGCCACTACACGGACGCCAGGGGGACAGTCTCAGGCGCTAGGGTAGCGCTTTGGTGGTTGGTTTCTGGCTTTCTGTTTGGAGCCCTTCTACACATGCAAGTGCAGAAGTTGTACCGATTGCACCACACGCACACAGTCTTAGGAAAGCCCTAGCCTTAAGCAGATGAAGCTTTCAGCTGTGGTTGATGCAGGGGTGCCCTCCCTGTCCGACACGTCCATGCTGTTCCTGACGAAGTGTCCTGGCTACATGCTCGCCATTAGGCCACTGTGCGAGGCACATGCATCTGTTAGGCCTTTTTGTGGTGGACCCACACCTCGTCACTGTGTGTGTGGGCGTCACTGTCTACTGTCTGTGGTAAAGGGGTGTGCAGTAGCAGGACGAAGGACATGATGTGTGTACAGATTATGTAAACAGTTGATTCTGTTGGGCATGGGATCGGGTGCAGGAATGGCTTCCTCATCTCACTGGACCTGGACACTGGAAGCTTGCCTGCTCTTTGAGGTTCACTTCCCGATAGTCAGGCTGCCAATATCCACAAAGGGCTTGGATACCCGGTCCATACCGATAAAGGGCCCACAGAAGTTCCATAGAGGGTCCAGGGAAGGTCAAAAATGGCTCTTGCAACATCGGGAGGGAGGTTCTTATGGTCCATAGAGGATCCAGAAACAGGTTCCAGGCCGAAAAACAGGGCGTTTGCCTTAATCCGAGCAAGCAAAAACGGCGAAAGGTGGCCACAAACACCTTAGGCCTGCGGCCTCGGCGGATATCGCAGCAACCAGCAGCAGAACCAGCAGATAGACAACGACGGCAAGGAGGTTAATGAGCATGGTTCTGGGAGCAGAAGGAAGGCAACGTGAAGAAACGTGAAGGATGGGCTCAGACTGGAGCAATGAGGCGAAAGGACGGAGCAAACTATAGCAACTTACAAGAACATGAGAGAAAACATGAGGGCAAACATGAGGGAAACATAAACCAAGGTCACACCGTGCAGACGTAGCCTTGTTGGCCTCAGTATTTCTTTACGAGCGCGAAGATTCCTGAGGACACCTCACGCATTTGGGTGCACTAAAGCACCCACATGAAAAGTGTGCGGAGATTCACGGCTTCGTTGCATGGTGATGGTCCATGTGGGTTCTCCAGACGGATTGCTGATGCTGCAGCGCCCTTTCCAAAGAATTCTTTCCGAGGTGCCGAGAGGTGGTCAAAGCAGGCGTCCGATTGGGCTTTGGGGAATCGGGTAGAGAGGTGCAGGTTATTCGGTGTATACACAATTGCCTGGGATTTTGAGTTTGTTCCCGTCCTGGTTCTGGATTCTGCATATACGGATAGCAAGCTGTCATTCATTTAGGTGTCTAAGCTCTGATGATTAGATCTAGACCGAGAGGCGTACTCGAAGTGCTGCACGGTATACCACGGTACGATGCGAATCGCGGTTCCGCGAGCAGTTTTTCTTTTCGACTGGTATTGATGCGCTTCTGTGCTCAGATCCTATCTGAGATCTATACTGGCATATACCGCGCGACTCATGCAACGTCCTAACTACGGTGTTGAAGAACGACCTCGGGCTATCATCGGTAGTCACACCTTTCGTGTTTGGTTCCAAAGCCTTTCAAGCAATCTTCAGATGTAGCTGATGGCCGAAGCCGTCCTTCGAACCGTTTTTCCAAATGGCCTCAGCATGAAGGTCGCGGCCGCCCTCCCATAGCTCCCATCACACCCTTGCCCGAGGTCGCACCGGCAGTGGCCCCTTCTGCGGACTGCAACCTGCTGACTCCGGGATCTAAAGATTGAAGGAAGTTTTACCGGATGTTGTTTTGGCAGCAGTTCACAGTTCTTTGCAACTCAAGTAGAGCGGGAGGATAGCTAGATATTGCAAGTCAGTGTCTCTGCTGCGTATGTGTTGAAGCAAAGGACGCAGGG